GTGAGTGTGGATTATATTTCTCCTATGACATTTGGGTAAAAATTCCTTGTTGTTTTTCTTTGTAATGTATAGAGTATTGAAACACACACACACATAATTCAGCGCTTAAACTTAGTAAGAAACTCCATAACAATAAGGAAATAAGCTTGCACTATACCAGTAGTCTAATATATGCGCGATCCCATCCTCTAAGTTCAAACTATGTACATATATAAAACATATCTGAAATATAAAAAAAAAAAAACAAGCTTCGGATACCATCCAAATGCACCATTTCCAGTGTAAGTTACAACAAAATCATACAGGATTCCCAGTATGGCTTCGTTGCTCATTTCCTTTCTCTATAAAAGTGGCACCCACCTTTATGATTTATGCCTACGCCCCTGTATATACGCACGCTCACACCCAGAATTTACCTACCATATTGGTCAGTCACTAATTAGATCAGACTTAACACTTAACAATCACATTGCATAAAACAAACATTAAGAGCGAACTAAAAAACTAACTTTACAGAGATAACATTTCACACAGGAAGATCCGGTACAGTTCTAGCTGTACACGCGTGCCTCCATTGAGGCCAAGTCAGTCAGTGAAGTCTCACTCTCGAAAAGTCCCCCAATGCACATTATATTATTAAACAAAGATGACGAAATTGATACTTATTTTAATAATGAGAACGATGTTCTCCTCCATTCTCCCTCGGTTGTAGCACTGGAACAAAGCACTCCATTTATTCGGTTTCGATTTGATGTAGTTGTTATCGTTTGTTTTTATTCTTAACCTCATACATTTTTCAGGCACATACCTAAATATTTTTAGTTCGATTTATTTTTAAACGCTTGTTGTGTTCTTTTCACCGAAATTTAAAGCCAGACATTTTTGTGTTTATTCACAATTGAAGGTGCTCATTACTTCAGATAGTGTACTGATAGGTTCAACATAGGTAAACGGACAAGGAAGGCGTGAAGCATGAAGACAGGATGACAGTTGAGCATCGTAACTACCTTAGTAAGGTAGAATTAATACGCCTGTTCTGCCGTGAGATTGTTTTCATACCTGTGTATGTGAATAAGTACTAGTTGTTTAACTTTTGGTGGATGAAGATTTTTAATAAGAATCATAACTCTAGAACAAGTTGAAAGAAAGAGGATCTTGGCATCTAGGCCTACATTTTTGAGGGTTTGGGATTGTTTGACGTATATTTTGCATTGTTTACTGCAAAAGTCTAAAACATTAGTACGTAGTCAGTGACTTAGCGGTAAGTTTGAGGGCTCTCACCGCTAAAACCGGGTTTTGATGATCGTGGTAGGCACAGCACAGATAACTCATTGTGCAGCTTTGTGCTTAGCAACAAACAATAGTACGAGATGAGAGTTGTGTTGTAAATGCAGATCTGGCTCTAGCTCCTCTACTTGGCGGAGGTGGGAGTGGCGGGGCTTTTGTTGACTCTTTGTAGCGATTTAAGAAACTATACGGTTTTTTTTTTAATTGATAATATGATTTTTTAAACCGCTTAGGAGAATGAACTTAGGTGTTTAAAATGAAATTTGGGAGAACTCTGCTCATCCGTCTAATGCAGACCTATCTGAATGACTTTCTAGTTATCATTCGGTTATGTTAAACGTATCCAAATAACTCGATTTTGAAAAATGATCAGTATGATTTAATTATGACAAATCGAAAAGTCTATTGAAGCAGAGATTATGATTCACGCGGTGACTGGGAATTTTACACTCATTTATGTAGACTTGTTTTTATTGTATACTAGCAGAGACCAGCAAAATCTTTGTGGTCAAATTGGTATCTTTATTGCAACTGTACGTCTTTAAATGCAGTATTTCTAGAATAATACAAAAGAATTCTAATCACAGACACCGAAGTTTTTAAGTCCACTTGTCTCAGACCTAACATTATTTAAGCCTTTACTAATTGCAGCCTGTATTTGATAGAGATAACACTAACTTGTGTACGTTTTTTGCTTTAGTTTCGTTAGGGCTAAACTTTACTGTACTTAATACTGTTAATAACTAAACTTATAATGTTATTCTACGACCTAACGTTAGATTTTTTAAAAACGTTAAGCTTTTAATATGTTGTACAAAATGTCTAGAAAAGTATATTTGCATCCGCCTTTTGTTTACATCCGTTTAAGTGCGCGCATATGCGCATTTAGATAGTAAGGTGCCTGTGCATTTTTCAGGACATTCAAAATTGAGTATTATCATAATAGATTCTGTAACTAAAAGTATACACTTTGATGCCATGGTTATCGTAAAAAAGTCTTAATAATGTGTTGTTGGCCTGAGCACTGATATCTGATCTTGTTTGTTTTTTTTCAGATAAGTCTGATTATCGTCTTCACCGTTGTATTGATTCTACTTCAGTAGATACTGCTCTTATTTATTATCAGTGACTTCTGACCAAAGCAAGTTACCTACAGAAGTCAGCATTAAAAATTCCTCCAGAAACTAACGTAGGGCGCATTTTAACCTTCCAGCAATATTATTTGTATCGTAGTTATACTTACAGTTTTAGGCCGTGTTTGGCGCATTTTAACCTTCCTGCAATAAAATTTGTATCGTAGTTATACTTACAGTTTTAGGCCTTGTTTTCTGGATCATTAAACTTGTTGAGGTTATAAACATACTTGTCAAACAGTTTGCACTTCAACTGGTTATATGGGAAAAAAGTATTTTAAGAATACTTTGATAATTTCTATCAACCCGTTCTTATGTGTTAGAAGTTAAATTGGTGCGATAATTAAGATAAATACAGTAATAATTGGAATAGCTCAGTAAAACGTTCTATATGTATGGTTTGGATGGGTAGCTCAGTAAAATATTCTACTTTTAAGGTTATGAAACAACTACAGCATTACGAACTTTTATCAGTCCAGTACTATCTGCTGTAGTATAAAACAGATATTATTTTAAAATAGAACGTATGTAAAGAAGTATTTACAGACGATATTTTCTCAGTTACGTTATAGTCGTGTGTGTTGTTAAATGTTAATTACAATGTTGAAACCCATGTTATTAATAATTTTTTAGTTCAAGTGCTTAATTAATTACAAAATGTCCCATAAGTTTGCAAACTGTGATAAGTGCATGTTTGCAACAAGCATTTATTTTGAAAGCGAGTGTTACACGTTTCCTAAATTCATAAGTGTTTTATTTGTCATAGGTAATGGTGATGTATAAATTCAGATTGTATGTACTACAAAAAGGCAGTTCTGTAGTTTCCCTAACTGTAGAGTGGATAAGTTTAATGCAGTGAACGGCATTGCGTATTGAAAATAACGAAACAATGAATATCAACGTGTAATAGTAGCTTTTAATCGTATAGAGTAGCGGTTCTCAAACTTGAGTAAATCGAGGACCCCTTTTCATTTAAAGTCAGTACAGCTGTAAACTGTTGAAAATTATGTAACATTCAACTGAATGCGTATGCACGTATGTAGCTTCAAATTTGTTCATCACAAGTGAACATAAAAAAAAGTTAAGAAACAGAATCGTTAAGAAATTGTTAATTTAAAAAGGGGAATAGGGATCGTCAAAAATACAGAAACAAGTTGAATCAAAATACAAAGAT